ATAAAAAAATGTATACTGAGCCTTGAGATTCTCATTTTTGATGGGTTATTTATCCCATAATTTTCCAACATTCAAACGATCGTTAAAGGGAAGATTAATATTTGATCAAAATAAAGAAGGGTTTGGTCCAACAGATGTCTCATTCATCATTCATTGAGGTCGATCTAATCTGAGTCGATAAGAAGACTCAAATATAGTTACTCAGGATTCATTTTCATCCAACGTTTAAACTAAGTATGACACATTATTTTTCTATGTAAGCCATCTTTTCCATTTATGAAAATGATAATACTTCGAATTTTGTGTCTCTTTTTTTGACATTTTACTAACCATTTTTAAAAGCTAATTATAAGATTTCATTAATCGAGAGACAACTATGGCATGTTTTTAATAAAAGAATAAACTTTCTTTAACTTTCAAATGCCACGTAAAGACCATATTTGATAAATATGCCATCTAATATATAACTGATTCGTGTGATAAAATATTATACCAATACTTAGAAGTTTTTTTTCCAATATTCAAAACATAAAAATTGGAAAATTGATCTCGACATTTCAAATTAGAAACTTTTTTAGTTTAAATTGAAATTGACTTCAATTAGCTGATTAACTCTTCATGTAGATCACAAACTCATTCAGCATGAGTCGTGGCTGACAACATACTATTAGAAAGTATCCCTTTGACACTTTCAAGTTCATATCTTTTTATTATTAAAAATATGGAAATCGATAAAAACGAAAAAAACTATTTACCCTGAAGGATCGAAAAAGTCAATGAACAAAATCTTTGAAAAATGAACAGTTTTAAATTTTCAACTGATTTGATCTTCACAATCACAATAACTGAAATTGATATTTGAGAAAAATCTTAGATCACTGGTTGTGTAGATTGTTTGAAAAAAAGAGAGATCGATTTGTAAGAAAGTTTTGCTGACTATTGATTGTAATAGTTTAAAACTATCTATAAGTCAACAATAATTGATATGAAAGATTTAGAGCAGCAATTTTATGCACAAAAGTGCATATCTTAAGTTTCAAGATGACGAAGTCATATGTTACTGTTAGACTGAATAACTATAGACACCGAAAGTGAACGTCAGAATAAGAAAGGAAGATTCATGTCACTGAGTAATGCGAGCCAGCGTTAAGAAAAACGTTAAGACTACTAGGTGATACGCTAGAATAATATGAACAATAGCGTTGCTACATAGCAATGCCTGAAAAAATGGTACAATATTACTTGCACAAGACATACAGGTCTACTAGAAAACGCAGTTCTATTTCAATTGAAAAATCTTGAAGAACATAGTAATGCGTCACTATTACGAGTATTCAGAAAATCATTAAAGTTCGTTAGAGATGTAACAAGATTGTTAACCTAAAATGGACAAATATTTTGTATCAAATATTGATAAAATAACACTGCGTAGTACGCATGATAATGAAGTAAGGCTGAAGTGTAATGATTACTTGGTAACAGTATGATTTCAAATGGTATCCTTGATTTTTGATACCTTACTGAAAAATTGACTAATTTAGTAGATAGAACTTGTTTAATTGTTGGACTTTTCAAAGTAAAATCTTTAAATCATGTCTTCATAAAATAATCATATGCACTTAGTGAAATTTTAAGACTTGAAATATGAAAACTTAAAATAGTATTTCAATTCATTGTTGAGAATTTGAATCATAATCTTGAGTGAATCAAACACTTTTCAATTAAATTTCAAAATTAATTAGTTTTATTCTGTTCTGATTTATAGAAAATAAAATATAAATCGAAATAATTAATTGACATATATATAATAGAAATAGGAACGAACTCAAAATTTCTTTATAATATGTTAAATAAACATAAAAAACATAAATTATTCACCTTTTCTTTTATATTGTATTCTAATTCTGATTTCATTGATAAGTCGATAGAATATTTTATATTTCATTTCTAAATAATTTTATCACTAATGTACAACTAAATATTTTTGCAATCAAATGATAAAAAAAGGCAACACATAATAAGTAGTAGTATTCATTGAGAAAACAAAACGAATGAAAATCTTGAATATTCCGTGTTGATTCTTAGTAAGTTTTTATGGATAAGTCAATCAATTAAAAGTATTTGTTTTTTAACGATTAGATCTTTCAAACGAATTATCATGATTAATATAAACAACAATAATATATGAAAAATTCAGATATTCAATAGAAATAGTTTCTATCTTTAGTTATAACTATCATTGCTCTTATAGTATACTTTTATTTTATTAAAATGAATTAAAATTATAGTTTATAGACAATTTGTTTCTTCTTCTCTAATTTCTTTTGATATTAATTATTGAAAATATCTCATAATGTTTCTGTATCATTGACAATTCTAAACCAAAAATGATATATTTTATATTCACTGATAGAATTTAAAATATTTACTAACAAAAACCTAAGATTTCTACAGATTGCCTATAATGTTAGAATATTTGAATAACGATAAAAAATCTTACTCATTTATTTTCGAAAATAATGATAAAATGATTTGAGTTTTCTTATCAGTTTTTTGTAGTCTCTTTAAATAAAAGCACAAATAGAACTTTGCAAAAAAAAACAAAAGACAAGTTTTATTCTATTTATATAAGTATAGTCAACTTGTATTTATTGAATCTATCAATAAATTATAATTCAAATTAACTGAAAAAAGAATGAATTACAATTTAATTCTTGTTAAAGCTTTATTTGAAATTGATTTTTATGAGATTTATCCTAATTAGTTCATTATTTAGTTGTTGAAAGAAAAAGTAATACTATCAACACTTTTATTTAATCATAAATAAATAATCTTGATAATTGTAAATATAATTGCAAAACCTACTGAATTCGTATTCCAACTACTTGAAGATTTCTCATTATATCATTGTCTTATTAATAGAAATAAAATGATGAGATTTTTCTATTCCATATTCTTGATATTTATTTTATATAAAAATTCTTTATAGCTTGTTGATATATGCCATAAACTATGAATGAAAGATACATTATACTCTCTATGATAGTCATTTTATAAGATTAATATAATCATATTTTAGAAACTTTCAAATAATAATGAAAAAAAATGAACAATTCCCAGGTCGAATTCACCCTGTCGAATCCGATAGAAATTCGCCGGAATTTGTCGGAATCCTAACCACAGGATTCCGACAAGTGGTTCTGGATGTCGGAAAGTGTCGGAGTTTCAGGGATTTCGCAGGATCCTGATTATTCCGACATCCGGAACCTCCTGTCGGAATCCTGTGGCTAGGACGCCGACAACTTCCGACGAGTTCCCGTCGGATCCGTTAAAATCCGGTAATTTTTCCGATATAATCCTATATAATCCGACGTAATCCGACAGTCGGATCGAATCACCTGGGAATTAAAAAGTTTCACATAAAAATTTCTTGAAAATTGAAATTAGAAAACTTTTATATTTTTAAATTATCACTTATTTTGTGTATCCAAAAATTGTAACATATAATTTTATTAGAAGAAACAAATGATGCATCTTTGTATAGAAAAACATTGTTTTAAGATGATTCGGTGATAAAACGATATTTCATTTTACTGAAATTCATTCTGTTGCTTCCTTATTGATTTTTCTTCCAATAAGTTATTCATGATAATATGAAATAGTATATAAATCATTTCTACCAAAAATTTATTACCAAAATTGCATTTTCATTTTATAGTAATATAATTCTGATAAAAGTAAAGAACTAATTTAATGTAAAATAACTTTAATTTTTATAAAGTAAATATACTAAGATTTGAGGAAAATTTAGTCATTCAAAGCGTTTTGAAAAATGAGTTCAAAATCTCATCACGGACAACTTTGATTTTATATAGAAATTCTTACATGCAAACATATTAAAAAAATGATACATGTGTAAAATTAGTAAAAACAAATCATAGAAACTCAAAAAAGAGCATGAACGTTTTGACGAAATGTTTATATGGATAAAGACTTTTCTTTTGAATAAATTTCTGTCTCCGTAATTAGATTTCTTTCTAAGTAAAAGAAAATTTGCTTTAATAGGAATCTGTTTTCTAAAGAATTACAGTTTTGTAATAAAATAAAAGACTGTTGATATGATATTATGAAGAATTGTTATATTGAATCTCTTTGGATAATCGAAGATAAATTTCATTTATAAAAAGTTTTTTTTTATTCTCAAAAAACATCTCAAAAGAGATTGTTAGTATGATGATCTAATGATGAGTTTTTCAAACGATGCGTATATTGAATAAAAACAGATCTTTTCTTTCGCATTGATCATTTAAGATTAGTTAAACATCATATGAAATATTTGTTTTTGATTTCGTAAATCAATTTAAAATATAAATTATATGTTACAGGCAACTTCGAATCGACAAAATCGAAAGAAAGGATATCTAATCAAAACAAAACGCTTTTCTTTTTAGTAGTAGATGTTATATATGAAGAAAACAATTTTCTAATTTCAATATGACGAAAAATTAATCTGTTGCGTAACAAAATTGAACCTTTTATTGTTTTCAATATCAACTTCTAGTAATTTGCTAAATACGAGAGATTTTTCAATAAGATAGAAAGTAACATATTTTTTGAATATGTTATTCTATGAGATCGATTTAACAAAGTTCTTTGTAAAAAATTCTCTAAACATTCAAATAATATTCATAGTAATCAAAATTGAAATCTTCTAATTACACTACAAAGTAACAATACTTAACTTAGTAAAAGAGATTTTGTCATCTAATTTATGATTTCGTTTCATAATAAAAAAAATAATACATGAATAGTGTCAATTTTATACTAAAATTTTCATAATAGATTGCAAAAAAATTGGATAAATCAATCAATTGAAAGGACAAGATTTAAATATTCTATTTTAATCAATCATCTTGAAAAAAAACATGGCTACTCCTATTCCATTAAAAGATAAATTGCACACAGACATTGAAGATATGGATTTTGAAATTTTCTGTATTATTTGGCTTGATGATAATACAACTGCTAAAGATAATCGAGATACAGAACAAAACTTACGTTCTATTATTAATCGTCTTAAAAAGTTTCAAGATATAGCACGATGTCAAAAATATATTGAAGAACGTTCACAAAATGAACGATTATTGATGATTGTTAGTGGTCGATTAGGAAGTGAAATAGTTCCTTCTATCCATAAATTTCGACAAGTTATATCAATTTATGTTTATTGTATGGATATAATTGGTCACAAAAAATGGGCTAATAAATTTACAAAAGTAAAATTATTTTCAACGATTTTGATGTCATGTCATTAGAGTTTCGTTTTTTGTTGATAGGTAAAAGCTGTTGTATCTGAACTTAATGAACTCATTTCTCAAATTCGAAGGGATCATAAAATTCAGAAAATTATAGAAGAACCTTTATCAATTAATTATTTTACTACAAGTGATTCTGATAGTGGTAAATCAACAGCAGATGTAAATGGGAAATTTGTTTTTTCTCAACTACTTATTGATTGTCTTCTACGATTAAAATCTACCGAAATAGATCGAAAAGAACTTATAAAATTTTGTAAAAATGCATATGAAGGTAATAATTTTGAATTAAGTAATCTTCGTGAATTTCAAAATGATTATTCATCTGACAAAGTTTTATGGTGGTATACACGAGATACATTCTTTTACAAGACTCTTAATGCAGTTTTACGTACAGAAAATATTCATATGATCTTTTTATTTCGTTCATTTATTTCTGATATTCAACACCAATTGAAATATCATCAAACTAAACATTCTCTACGTGTTTATCGAGGGCAAATGATATCAAGTAATGAATTGGATACTTTGAGGCAATGTTGTGGTCAGTTTATTTCCATCAATTCATTTTTTTCTACTAGTACTGATTATCAACAAGCCCTTTCATTTCTTAACGATTCTGGTGCTTCAGGCAATTTAGAACCAGTATTATTTGAAATCAATGCTAATCCAAATATGGCTACTACAAAACCATTTGCTGATATCAGTGCATATAGTGAATTTCCTGGTGAGTCAGAAATATTATTTATGCTTGGTTCTATTTTTCGTTTGAACAATGTCGAACACAATAGTAATGATCAAGTATGGGTTATACAAATGACATTATGTAGTGAAAATGAACATGATTTAAAAAACGTTCTCATTTATATGAAACAACAACTTGGAAGTGGAGAAACAAATCTTCGAACCTTAGGAAAAATATTATCGGAGATGGGAAAATTTAATTTAGCTGAACAATATTTTATTCGCTTACTAGAAGAACTTTCACCTAATGATCCTTTACTTGGTAATTTATATGAAGATCTTGGAAAACTAGCATCACAAACTGGTGACTATAATAAGAGTGTCAAGTGGCATCAAAAATCACTTGCATTCAAAAACTCCAGTGAATTAATTGATGCAACTCATATTGATCAAAGTAACAGTTATATTGGTAAGTTCATCGAAAGAATGTTTACTATCCTTGTTTAAATTCATAATTGATATTATTAAGAAATGTTTTGCATTTTCAATCAAGTAATCATTTTAGATATTCACAATACTCAATTCTCATTCTCAAAAAAAAAAAAAATTGTGCAAATATTATCAGATAGCTCATTCTCACATGCTTTTACAGATATCAAATCAATACAAATAGACATTCATTCAAATCCACACATTTACATTATTTTGAAACAAATTTCTTAATATGTTTTGCGGTTCACTTCTTGCCTACTATCGTGTACTTAAATCAATCTCTTGAAATATAAATTCAGAGTATTTCAATGAATGTAATTAGTTTCTTTCCTATTCAAGAAAATTATTAATTCTTCATGTTTCACTTGAAATTGAAATTTACAAAGAAGAAAATCATAGTATCACTCATCTCATAAAAAGAAAAGTTATTTCCTTGTCTGTTATAAATTTAAATTGTTCCTATACGTCATCTTTTAGAATTGTAATAGCATGATAATCTACTATTAAAAAATGCCCTATTTTAATTAATTAAGGAATATAAAATGTAACATACAATGACATTTTCTTTTCATATGATCCAAGAAGTATTTCTATCGTTGAAAACGTACAGACCAATATCTTGTTAGTAGGAAAAGTAAGTTTATTCTGTTTCGACTAGAAATGAATGTTACCATTATATTGTTTTAGGTAATAATTTAAGTTATTCTGGAATTTTATTTGACTTAACCCTTTGAGTTCAGGCGACGCTAATTTGCGTCCTGATATTTTTCGAACGGAATAACTTTGAAAAGCATGATCTGTTGATTATTTGATGACATAAATTGCGTGAATATTTACGTCTAGGATATTTTCACAGTTAAGATCATCTATATTTACTGATGATTATTGGTTATTCCTTAATTCTTTGAATACAAGACTATTTTTATATTGTAAAACAGATGAGGGATGGTTCATAGACAAATCGATCCGAAAGAAATTTTTATTCGAAACCCCATTGTATTATATCAAACGAAAAAGCTCGGTGAGTTGAACACTTTCTGTGACGAAATTTGGTCTAATAAATAAAACCATGAAGAGTTCTGGATAAGCTAACTTGCAAAATTTCAGTCCTTTTAGTCGTTGTCACGGTTAGAACTCTTCATGGTTTCATTTAAAAGACAAAGTTCCGTCACAAAAAAAGTATTTAACTCACCGAGCTCCTTCGTTTGGTATAATATAGTTGGGGTTTTGAATAAAGCGATTTTCTAGGACCGATTTGTCTATCACTCATTTCCTGTTCTTTTGACTATATAAAAATAATCCCGGGCTCAAAGGATGAAGTATAATATTTGTATCTAATCATTTACACTGAATTCTCATATTATAAAAGAATTATTTATCAAATAATTGTGATATAGAGTATATCATGTTGATGTTCTTTTCAGTTAAAATAGAAGAGAAATAATTATTCATCGATGGATAATTCTTTTATTAAATTAAATAGTTAAATTTAATTATTTGAAGTTAGATTTTGAAGATATTTTATGAAATTAGAAAATAAAATTAATCGTAGATATATTTTGCGATAGTTTGAAACATTATTTTGACTCATAATTATCACAATACATGACTAAATCATTGCTAACTACATTGATTAGTTATTGTTTATTCATATTGAGATAATTTATTTGTTAAATAATAGATCTATTTTCTGACCGTTTCAATCTTCAAAAGCCTTGGTCTTTGTAGAAAATAAAATCCTTCATAATTAAAAAGATTGTATATAAATTTTTTATTAAAATTTCTACGTCATATTTAATAAAATCCAAGATAATTTAATATGAATAAAGTGAACAATAGATTTATTAAATCTTATTTTTTAAATATAAAAGATTTGAAATGTTTTCAAAAACAATGTAGTACTTTGATGTATGTGAAAGGAATTTTTTATCATTAAAAATATTTATAAATGATTTTAAAGTCACATTTTCTTTATGATCTGTTCATTGCTATTTTACGCTTTAGATAAAAAGAAGTATGAATTCAATAGTAGATGAGAAGAATAACTTCTCTTCTCTAATAAGTTCCCAACTAATCAGATTAAACTAGCATTGCAAAAAAAACAAAGTTCAGTAAAAAATTCGGAAGAATCGATTACTTTTGTCTTTATTAGTCTTTTAACTGAACGATAATTCTTTTTAAAGTTAAATATGTACTGGTTTTTTGCAAAAAGTCAATTTATTAATCCAAACAAATGTATAATCAAAAATGTTTTTTTCGAGAAGAGTGTGCATGTTAGTATTCTAATCATGAATATCTACGTCTACGGATTCTTCAAATATTTCAATAAATAAATGAAAAATATGATTGTTAGTGGTTGGGGCTATAATTTAGTTATTTTAATTTTTGCATTAAACAAAATCTCTATTATTTCAAAAGTCTGCGAATAAAAAAAGAATATTTCTGTTAAACATAAGTTCTTCATTTTCTCCTATCTTCTACATAAGTGATCAAAAATCAATAGAAGCCCTTGTTGCTACACGATACTTTCTTTATTTATAGTAGATTAAACATTGAATAACTATGGAAAGGAAACGACAGTTTTCTTATTATCTGTATGAACTCGTTAAAATAATGATCATATTGTTTGTCTTCTTTAAGATGTATCAGAGACATCCAAATACATTCCTGCTCCAGCTGTACCAAAACGTAAAACGAAACCATCTGATGTTTCACATAAATTTAAAGTCGAATCTTCATCAAAATCAGGTATGCAACATTTAACACTTCAATCGGTTTTACTGCTCACTGGCTGTTACATAAAGGAAAATCTCTCGTTATTTAATGCCTCACGTGACTGCTCTATTTATTCATGAAATTAGAATATAGGATCCATAGCAATCAAAGGATTTCCTTTATTTCGATACTATGAATATTTTCTAGCCAAATATTTCAAGTAAAAATATTATGAAATGAAGTAGTTTTTAAAATTAATGACAGACTTATGCCAATATAAACCTAGCTGCACTATTTCCTACTCTTTATATCTAGTGACGTATCCAGGATTTTTTCGCATGTTGGATTTCATCTTTAGAGTATCAGATCCGGGTGAAACTTATAGAGATATGATATTGGACTCAAATGATGAGTTTTTATCGAAAGATTTTTGCAATAGGCGTTTGCAAAAATAATGAACATTTTCCTGAGCCCCATCAAGATTTTTCTTTTACTATTTGTCGTATTCTTTTTTTTAGAATTAAGTAGTAAGCTACATCAAAATTCATCGAGAGATTTCAAATTTCATGTAAAAATATGCATCCGTTCAAGAGTTATAACGTTTTGAATTTTTGTTGCATACTGGGAAAATTTTAGCGAACCTTCAAAACATTATAACACTTGAACGGATGCATATTTTTACATGAAATTTGAAATCTCTCGATGAATTTTGATGTAGTTTACTAGTTAATTCTAAAAAAAGGAATATGACAAATAGTAAAAGAAAAATCTTGATGGGACTCAGGAAAATGCTAATTTTTTTCGCAAACTCCTATTGCAAAAATCTTTCGATAAAAACTCATCATTTGAGTCCAATATCATATCTCTATAAGTTTCATCTGGATCCTATGCTCTAAAGATGAAATCCAACATGCGAAAAATTTCTGGATAAGCCACTATTTATATCCACATTTCAATACTGCAATTTGAAACGTTGAGAAAATAATTTCATCAAGTCACACATACATAACAATAGTGTAAAATATCTAGATTGTAATGACACCTTTTGAAAGAAGATTAGTTTTTCTCTATCTCATTCCAAATCTTTTAAAATTATGTCTTTCGTTAGACATGTACAAATTATCAAACAATTTCAAAATACGTTACTAGTTTTCGCTTTAAACACAGTTTTCTGAATGAAAAAGTATCGGCAATGCCTTTTAAGATAATCAATTTTTTCTGTAAAGTGGCATTGATATTCACTTTCAAGAAATTTCATTTGAACTAATGTTCTTAGATTTCAAAGAGAAATCGAAAGAAAACATTTTGACACTAAACAAGTTTTATTGAAACCAACTTCATTGAATATTTCGAGAGATACGGATAAAACATTGCTGACATCTAGGGTGTGGGTGTGAGGTGTGGCAGTGCCTGTGGGTGTAGGTGGGTGTGAGGGTGGGTGTCTATACAATCATTATTTAAACCCACACTCACACCTTATCACTTTTAACACGTCCACGTTTAGCATTATCACGTGCTGTTGTTGATGAAAAATCTATATTACGTTTCTGTCGTTTTAATACCAAACTCGGTCAAACGTTTGGTTTCGAATTATCACAAGAAGATAATAAACATATTATTCGTAATGTTCAACCAGATTCACCAGCCGATAAAAAATAACTATTTTAGTGTTCTTTTTTTTCCTAACCAAACTTTGTTATTTTAGCTCGAACTGGTTTACATAATGAAGATCATTTAATTGAATTAAATGATTAAAATGTTATTCATAAATCACATCGATGCATAAAAAAAAGAATAAAATTAATTTTTATATTTTTGCATTGTTTATAGATGTTGTTGCTTTAATAAAAAATGCTGGTAATAATGGTGTTGCATGTTTACCTATATCGCCAAGTAATATTAAGCCATCATCACGAACATCAGCTAAAAAAGTGTCATTACCATCATTAAATGATGAACGTATGTATAGTGATGATAAAAATTTTGATCGACCTGCATCTTCGTCACCATATGACGGTTCCTTTGATGATTCTCAACAAACATCAATGATTAAATATTTATCAACATCACGTATTGATCAACCTGGTTTATCATCACCACTTCATTCCGAGCGACCATATAATGCTCATGGTTTTGATACATATAAAAAGCAATCATTTCGATCAACATTTCTTACTAGTCAATCATATTTACCTACTGATCCATGGCCTCGTAAGTATATTTTCCAGAAAAATACTAGCTTTATCTTAAGCACTTTTTATTCATCAGTGTAGTTCATAAAAATCTTTTTAATTAATAACAAAGTTATACATAAATTGGCGAATATCCTATCTATTGAACTTCTAGTAAACGCAAAAAATTCCGAAGGAGGATTGTATCATCAAGTTCACTTTTATATGGAGTAAAATATTCTGCTAGCATCCTATTGTTACCAATAATTGTTGAAAATGATATCTATGAATGTAGTGAAAAGAGAAAAGTGGAAGAAATGGAGGTTCTAGTGTATATAAAAATTAATGTCGTCTTTACTTACAAAAGACAACTATTTATATTTCCTGATTTTTTCGTTAAAAGGGATGACCACGGCGATGGGGAAGAGGTACCGGAAATCCAAACTTTCACCAAGTGGATTGTAAATTAGATTCATGTATATTCTGTGCTAGTATTGATCCGTCACAACTGGCGAGAATTCTGTTGACGAAGTTCCGATAACTCGGGTCGGCGCCATGAAGAGCCCGCTCTCTCCCTCAGATCACTTGCATTTTCAAACATATAAGATTTATAGGTAGAAATAGTGGAACTGTTCAAACCCCTCTTCCCCCTCCCCTCTTGTCCCCTTCCATCGACATATCATCCTTGATCTGAACAATACATCTTATTTTTTGTTTTTGCTTAGGAAAATGCGTTCTTATTCGTGATCCAGGTTTTTATGGATGTGGTTTTCGAATGATTGAAAAAGAAAATTATGATACACCGATTGTTATTGAAGTACGTCCAAATAGTCCAGCTAAACGAAGGTATAAGTTTTTTGATTTATCTTGTTTAAAAGAAAATAAACTAAAAATAAAAAATTTCTTTTCTAGTGGTTTAGTTGAAGGTGATCATATAATTTATATTGAAAATCGTAATGTACAAGCTGTAAGATCATTTGATGAAATGGTACTTTTAATTCAACGAACATTTGATGAAACAGGTCAAGTTACACTTGTTACATCAACAGCCTCAGCTTATCAATTCTTAAAACGTAAAGGTGGTTTTTTACAATCTGAACCGTTTGAATATCAATTGCCTTATGTGCGTGAATTAGCGCCACGTTTATGTCGTATTATTTTATATAATCATGAACAAGATTTTGGTTTTACATTACAACGTGACAATCCCATACATATTGAAGATGTTCATCCAGGTTCACCAGCATATGAATATGGTTTACGTCCAAACGATAAAATAATTGAATTAAATGGTTGTGATACAGCAACATTATCACCCGAACAAATTATTGATATGATTGAAACAAGTAAACGACGACGACAATTAGATATATTAGTTATTGATTCAGCTGGTTTTGAATTTTCAATAAAACATGCTATACCAATTAATTCACTTCTACCATTTGTTCAACCAGGACAAAGACGAGGTAAAATATTTATTTAAAAGACCTAAATAAAACGAACAAAAGTTTTAATTCAAAATTTGATTTATCTATCTCTAATTCACACTGCTCAGTTATTTGTCAGTAGCTCAAGTATTCGGCGTTGTCTGGAAAAATTCAATATTGCATGCTTAGCATGTTGGAAAACGGTGATCTTACATTTCCTAGAAGCCATCCATCTTTGATGTTGCAAAATGCGCTCCGATCTCTTTCCCTTTTCAACTTTTTTTGCCTAGACACGGGTAGGACCAATGTTTTTCGAACCCGATCCTGGCTCCGATCCCTTCTCGATCTCAGTCGAAAAAAATTTTACTCTCAGGCCCGATTCTGATTTAAAAAAGCTGTTAGCTCAATCCATTGTAGGATTAAAAATGTGAAAAACGATGGATCTATTGTTACTAATTAAATGGAAATCATCTCGTTCCATTTCTTTGCGATACATTTGTACCTAGATTCGTTAGAACTACAGTTTCTCTATTACGGTGTGTGATGGGTCAAGATCCTGTCTGCCATGGTCTGTAATAGGTCCAAAATCTGTCTTTCACGGTATACGGCGGAGCGGGGTGCAAATTTCTACCCTTATGCACTTCAACACTCCTTACAGATATTGTCTCACAAAAAAATTGGGATCGGGACTAGAACCGCTTTGCTCATCTCTAGATTGGGAATTTTAATATATATTAAATCTGCATTAGTTTGAAGTTTAAAAAAGTTTCTTTGTAAAACTTTGTCATCTTTTTGAAACATTTTCGTTGAAAACTTGATCAAAACAATACTACTGACCATTGAAATATGCTAACATCGATTGATCAGCAAACTGATCTATCAAATTTGAGTATACTTTCATACCCTAGAATCTTCTGTGTCGAATGACGAAAATCGCAGGTCTTTATCTCTTTTCGTTCTCCAGTTTTTGAGAAAACAGTCGCACACACAGACTTTTCAGATGGAGCACTTACTGTACTGTTCCAAAAATGGGCTTATTAAGTACGCTGGAGGTTAAAGCTTTTAATTGAAAAGTAACCCTTTTTCCAGGAACAGTTGGAAGAAATACAAAAACCGGAGGAGAATACTTCAAAAATCGAAGAATATTTCCGACGTTTTTTTTGAAAAATCCGAAAAATTTTCCATCATTTTTTGAAAGTTAAAGGGACTTTTCCC